TGCGAGCGCTCCGCAATTGGGGCAGGGCAAGGAGCTGCCGGCGAGGAGGGAAGGCAGGAATGATGTGGTCTGAACCAGTGACCAGCAGAACAATTTTTGCAGCAGCCCTCTGGATACAAACCAGGAGATCAAGGAGCGCTGTGCAAGGCGTGGACATTGTTGGGCAGGAGGAATCCTTGAAAAGATGATGATGAGCCCTCAAATAATGAAGAGACAGGCTGGACGACGCCAGCTTTACCTCCAGACCAATTTCCTGACAATTATCTCTTCCCTGGCACCCCCACTTGTCTGCAGGGCCCCTCAGTGTCTCCCTGGAACGGGCCTTGTTGCCACCTCTATCTTTGGCTGTTCCTTCCCCCAGTGGAGAGAAAAAATTCCCAAAATTGAGAAGGATCCAGAAGCTGTCCAGGAAAAAGAAATATCCCAGCTGTGTCGTGTCTCTAGGGCTGCGTTCGTGCACTCAGCAAGTTGTGAAAAGCAGCTCTTTGGGCTGGTTCATTGACTGGCAGGAATTAGAGAGCTCAGCCTCTGCAGGGCTGGCAATTAGCTGCCGTGGAAGTGTTTGTGTAGAGTCAAATTTCCAGCACGAGGGAGAAGAGAAAAGCGTTTGGAAAAGCAAGCCGCCCCTCGGTGCGGGAGCCGGGCGGGCAGGGGGAGCTGCAGCTCCCGAGGGAAGGAAAGGATCAAGGATGGTTCCCAAACAAACCCCACTGCGAGGGGAACACCCCCAAATCCTCCCCCTGCAGTGCCCCAGGAGCTGTGCAGTGCAATTTCACACCGAGCATTTCTTTCCCTGCCTCAATTCTCCCACCGACAGAGGGGCCGAGCAGCTGGGAACGCTGGAACGGGGCTGCAAAGTTCCCACCCCAGCAGCACCTGCACTTTCCCCTTTTCCCAGCTCCTGGGGATGTCTGGCTCCCTCCCTTGAAGGGAAGAGCGTGGCCCTGTCCTGAGGAGCCACGAGAGCAGAGAGGAGGGATGGACAGGACAGAGGAAGGGGAGACGAGGATGGGTGAGCTCAGGGAGGCCCTAGCTGTGAGGAGCATGAGCTGGAGGGAGGAAAACACGGATTCAGGGGCACAGGGAGTGCCAGAGCCCCAGCTGTAAGAAATCACCATTCATTATTTCAGCACGCCCAGAAGAACTTGCTGAAGGATCCCGGGCTCGCTCTTTGGGACGCTTGGATTTGCTTAATTAGACACAAAGTTGTTCTGTGCTGAGGAGAGCAGCTACTCCGGCTTTACTAATGGGATAATTGGGTGTGTACACAGCTCCACCCCGCACACCCCACCGGGAGAGGCCCCGCACCCGCAGTTGTGGTGTCAGGTCTCCCTGCCTTTCCCCATTTTCCATGGTTTTTGCCCCATTTTTGCAGTTCTCAAGGAGGATGAGCCCTGATCATTTCCCCATTTTCCCCCATTTTTTCCTCATTTTCCCCCTGTTTTTTTCCCATTTTTTTCACTGTTTTTTCCCGTTTTTTCACCATTCTCCCTGTTTTTTCCCCAGTTCCCAAGGAGGACAAGTCACTGATCATTTCCCCATCTTTCCCCCCCCCTCATATTTCCCCCATTTCCCCCCCATATTTCCCCCTTTTCCCCTGCTTTTTCACATTTTTCCCATTTTCTCTGGTTTTTGCCCCAGTTCCCGAGGAGGACGAGTCCCATATCATTGGGGGCCAGCCCTGCTCCGTGGCCCAGTGCCTGTTCCAGGACAATTCCCCCCATTTTTTCCCATTTTCTCACTGTTTTTTCCCATTTTTCATCATGTTTCCCCCATTTTCCACTGTTTTTCATGTGCCCCATTTTTGCAGTTCTCAAGGAGGACAAGTTGCTGATCATTTCCCCATTTTTTCCCCATTTTTTTCCCATTTTTCCCCATTTTTTTCCATTTATCCCCATTTTTCCTATTTTTTTCACAATTTTTCCTATTTTTTTCACAATTTTTCCCATTTCCCCCTGTTTTTGCCCCAGCTCTCGAGGGACCATCCTCCCGCTGCAGGAAGGCCTCATTTACATCCAATTACCCTCACAAAAATTTTCACTCTTTGACCAGCCAAACTTCCAAATTCCGCTATTTTTCACCCTCATTTTGCCCTTTGATTCAGTGAAGTGGCTTCATTTTGTCTTTTTCTTCTTCCCTGCCCCAGATCTCTCCTTACACAGCTGTTGGGGCTTGCCTGCACTTGAAGGTTTTGCCTCTGCATTTAGGGACGTATAAATCTGAAAGACAATCACTAATTCTTGAATACTTCTGGAAGGATTTACTCAAAAATCAGTAATTTCTGAGTAACTTGGTGCCCTGGCTCCCAGTTTACCTTCCTTTTTAGCGTGAGAGCGTGCAGGGGCACATCTGGGCACTGCAGTTATTTGGGTTACAGCAAATTGCTTGCTCGGGGAGCCGGGCATGCTATTCAAAGCAGCACAAAGCGTCTGATGGGTTCGCCAATATTTTTGTTTGTGGACAAACCCCCCCCTAAAAAAGACAGAAGAGAACCCTCCAGTTCTTACCAATGCGTTGTTTGCTGCTCAAAATTACTCCGTGAATCATTTGGGACTGGGTGTATGCAGGCAGTGGTTTCTCATGCCCTCCTTTTATTTTGCTCTTTGAGCTCCAGCTCGTCTTAATTTGGTTGTGCCAAGGGGCTGATTTCAGTCCCCAAGGTGCACACAGCAGAGCACTCAGAGGGAAATGTACTCAAGGTGGAAATATGCAAGAACTAACTTTTTATCCTATACAGTTTTTAGCAAGCAGAGTTGCAGCCAACAAATAAGAATTTTAAAACAAACAAAAAACCCTGAACAAACAAAAACCCAAACCCCAAAACAAAACCAAAATAAACCCCCCCCAAAAAACCCCAAAAAACAGGCAAGTTGCTACCACTAAACAGAAGTCACAGATTTTTCATGAGCAAATGGCACATTTCCGCTGCTCCCCCGGGGATGACAAGGAGCAGTGTCACAGGCAGATGATGTGTGCCGCTCCCCACGCCCCATCCTGCTGCCTGCATCCTCGCTCCGCTGCTCTTTGGCCAAAATTCAACCCCTGCCACCAAGCGCCGGTGGTGCAGGAGGGAGAGGAGCCGTGGGAGGAGGAGCAGCTCGCTCGGAGTGACCGAGGAGCTGCAGATGGGGCTGTGAGGGGAGGGAGGCAGGCCCAGAGCCCCGTTCAGCTTTCAAGCCCCGTGCTCCGGGATCTCCACATGCCATTTCTTGGATGTGGTTTGCCCCCAGGGCAATCTCAACAGCTGTGAAGTTTCAACAGATGAACGATGTAGTTTTCAATAAGTTTCACCAGGCAGAGGGAAGGATTTTAACTCGTTCATGGTAGCCTACTTT